AACAAGCTGCTAAAGTCTGGATCCACAACGAAAATAACTCGATTTGCCATCTTGCCAGAAACATCAACAAAACACGGCCTCGTTTCGGCAAATGTCACTCTGTCACTCACGTGATATGAAGCTCTCTCTCTCATTGGTTAAATGGCCAACTGCACGAACGACGTCGCTGGCGAAATAAAATTTGGTTAATTACCAACGGCATGGAAACGTAATGGAAACGACAAACCTCAAGCAACGTCGGGATTATAAATTGATACGTGCGCGCGCGTATGTTTATTTCTGGAACGGCGGCAACTGCGGACTTCAAACGGCGAACGGCACCAGCTGCAGAGTTTAGAAACCCAGCTAAGAATTGAAATCCATTCAGACCTTTTTTAGTTAAGTATACAGGACCTGTCAAGAAGCATACTGGAATCTTTTCTCAATGGAAATAACGGCATAATAAAAGCTTATTATGTGCAATATTATTTCTAATGTATGACCACTACGTAGATGCGAAAGATGAACTTTATAGTTCAATATAATATATATATGTCTTACCTAAAAAAGTTAAATACAAAGTAAATTCCGTAGGTATGTGAAACAAATTTATCAATCAATTGCAAATCCTCAAAATTTATCTACAAGCTAAGGAACGTTCTTCCTGGTAGCGAAATAATCTAACATTTTTAATACTCAATTCCACAAACAGTTCACAAAAATAAAACATTATGATATAGCAAAATTTTATAGCTTGGAAAATCCATCGCATGATAATTTTAGATAAGAGTGACAAACTAAAAAACACATCACTAGCACGTCGAGACTCTTATATCTACTTCTTACACATTATTTTGAAATAGTGCCATGTTTGAATGGTAGCTTATTTTGAAATATACATATATTTAATCTAGCTTATATTCAAAAGCTTATTGGAATAATTAAGAATTAGAAAAGAAAAATTATGAACTTTGCTTCAAATTACGAAAATTTTTCACATTGAAAAAGTACTCTTCTACAATTTTTTTTATGAAAAGTCAAAGCGGCAGCGATGTTTTTGTCATTAAGAGGTAGTTACAAATAGATAGCCTTGTCAATAATAAGAAGCATTTGTCAAACTGTGACTTACTTTGAAGCTTCTTTCACAAAATGTACACCAATATCGAATATGCGGATATGCTATGAGTTATGTGGCAATGTCACAACTTTCAATTTCCAGTTGGCAATAATGATATTTTGCAAAAGTGTTTTACGAATTCTGTTGAATTTACCGTAGGTTCTTTCACCTGTTAAGTACCGGAGTTTTTAATAATTACGAAGCAACATGTATTTTATGTAATATTAATTAGGCAGATTATCTGAAAAAACATTGTTGAAGTCTTTCTGAAAAAGTTTTTTTTGCAAATATCTCACTTTTTTACTTTTTCTGTACTCCTAAAACACCCCCAGACAACACGTCCAAAAGATTGACGCCAATTTTGAATCACCCTGTATATAACTATTTGTGACAATATACAGAGTAAATAAAAAATGATAACAAAAACAAAAACAAAATTCAATATAATCTGAGAACATTAGAGAGAATAAATTATTAACATTTTATTGAACTTTTATCGAAATGATAATTTAGAGCAACAAAATATTTGAATGGCCATGGGGTCGTTTTCATCACTTCTTTCAGGAATATATTTATGGAAATTTTTTGATCAAATTTCATAAATAATTACCAATTTAAACTAATATTTTGGTGGAAATATATTGATGATGTATTCAAATTATAGTAATGGGGAACGGAGACCAAAAAATTGATGAATAATTATAAAAAAAAAAATATTTTTAAAAACTGAGATATTTGCAAAAAAGTTGAATAGAAGGACGGCAACTATGTTTTTCAAGATAATCTGCCTAATTAATATTACGTAAATACCTGTCCACCTTCAATTTCTGGCGCCAATCGTCAGCCCTTTGTTGACATAAGTTCTTACAGCTTCTGCTATGCTTTATCCCATAACAAAACGCATATCCGCAAATTCGTGAAAGGAGCTTCAAAGTAAGTCACAGTTGACAAAAGGTATCTATATATCTATATATATCTGTCTGCAACTTCCTGTTAAGGACAAAAAACATTGTTGCCGGTTTGACTTTTCCTCAAAAAATTGTAGAAGATATTTTTTCAATATCAAAAATGTTCTTAATTTGAAGTAAAATTACTATTTTTTCTTTTCGAATGCTTAAGTATTGCAATAATGCAAATACATAATATTTGTTGATACAGTTGAAATTCGATTTGGAACTTTTAATCTTATAGAAATGTTCGGAAAAAAGTTTTCATTATTTTACTCGTATTCTTCAAGTGAGGCTCTATATCCCCCCAAAAAATGACGCCAATTTTGAATCACCCTGTATATTTGCTGTTATATTTAAAACAAAATTCCATAAAAATATCATAATTATGTAGGTACATGTGTCTATTTAAAATGTTTAATACTATCTAGCCGTTTTCGACAAAAAATCTAACTCAAATTAACAATAAATATGTACCTACTCCCATATAAGGAAGAAAAATATAAAAATTTCAAATATCTCAAAAACAGTTAGGTACACCAATGTAGGTAGGTACTAGCATAACATTTAAAATGTATTCTAAAACGATTTTGTGAAAAGTGAAATTCTATGAAAAAAAATTATAATTATTTCCGTTATAATCGGCATTGCGGCGTCTGCGGTCGCCCCCATTAATTTTTTTTAAATATTTGTTTGCCATATTAATTTTAAGAAGAGACGGAAAGGGGGGGGGGTTGAACCGGATATGTAATAATCAGTATAATTTTAATATGGGTTTAAAATGCCGATAACTGTTTATTAGAAGAAATATTGGTGTGATAAATACCACCCGGGCAATGTTTACCTTCTGTTTATGTGTCATGTTTATCCATTCCATTGATAATAACGTCCGATATTGGACCGAGAAAAAAAGTTATTCAGGAGTTATGCAAGTTATGACGAGATTTGTTGTGTCCACTGAAGCTTCGTACAAAAACTTGCGATTTGTGTCTATCATGTAGTATCATTTTGCGGAATGCAATGACTCAGTTATTTACAATATCACTCGTGTTTGATAAATTTCTGCCCGAGAAAAGTTCTCTTTATCCAGTAATTTTTAATCATTATTTAGTAATTTAACATAATTATACACCAATATCCCAATTGAATATGCAATAGTGTATAAGAAATAAATGGAAGGAAATCAACAACATTCAACAATTCCAGAAAAATAATTTATTGAAGCGGAAGAGCTATGCCTAAAATCTACATATTTCAAGTTTGAAGAAAAACATTATTCACAAACATACGGTGTAGCAATGGGTTAACCCATATCAGCAACAATTGCAAACCTTGTTATGGAAAGCTTGTGAAAAAAACATAATAACAAGCCTAAATTATAATTATAAACCAACTTTTTTTAAACGCTATGTGAATGATTGCTTAATGTGTTTACCCAAAGATAAAATTCAATATACCCTAGATAAATTCAACAATTTTTGCGACACCATAAAATTTACAATAGAAAATGATAAAAATCAATCAATAAATTTTTTAGAC